TGCATCTGCATCGCATCTACACTTCTTTTTCCTCAGTGTCGACGCCCGACGTAGAGACAAAGCGAAATCGGCAAAATCGACAAAGGCGGCCAAACGATTAACGCTTTTAATGAGTACTAAACTCGCCTACGCAATTATGAGATACCAGCCCCCGGCGGCGGCAAGGGACGTGCCAAGACGCCCCCATCGGACCAAGGGGCGTGGCTGGCAGTGCGCGTGACTGCCGGCGGTGAATAAAGCGACGATTTCCATAAACTGCCAACAGATAAATCCAGCGAAGGCACACACAACACGACTATCAGGCGGGTAGCTACCTTTGTCTTCATTTTGGCTACACAAAACCATCTCTTTGCCAATTTTTGGCGCTGCTTGTAGCCCCAAGTCACTTTCTGCTGAATGTGGCTTACAGATTACATTGCATTTGCACTTGGATTTTCAGGATGCTGCCACTATGTGTCCTGCGAACCTACGAAGACGCCCAGTTGCTTCGCCTTCGTTGACTATTCAAAATTCATTGAGATGCATTTTTCTTCTTGAAAGGAGCGAACTGCGAGGGGCTGCGTGGCCAGCACAATAGCATAGCAGGTCAGGCAAATTTGATTTGCCCTTCGACCTCTCCCTCGCAGCCATTGTTGTGGCCATAAAAAGAAATAGTTATTAGGACAACCTGTCCGGCAAGGAGCTGCCAGAGTACAGGGTATGGGGTAGAGGGGCTGCGGAAGGGGCTGAAGCACCCTCCTTAGGAAGATTATTATTATTATTGCTATTGCTGCTATTACAGCCAGTGTGCAGCTCTTTCTGCTGGCACTGTATAACATTTATTGTTATTTTCATGCACTGCCCTTGTTTTCCTTTTTGGCAACTGCAGCTGTGCGGAAAGGTTGACGTAGTGGAATCCACAGATTCTCTGACAGTAAGGGGTTTCCCTCCCAGCAGATACTCTCTATAAAATGCAAGATTCAGTCTATCTGGTATTCTTTTCCATCGCATTAATCATTTATTGGAACAATGCAGCTTGCCCAAACTTCTCGGGCCTATCCTACTTTCATTTGACCTCCATCTGCTATTCGGTAGGTCCTTCTTCCGCTCCATCCCTAGATTGCCCTATCCCTTCGGTGTTGTCACTCTTCCGCCTCGCATATTTTGCTGTAGACCGTGGAGTCCTGTCCTTGGAGTCCTTGCTGTTGTGTAGCTAAATTAGCTAAATTGCTTATGGCAAACTCACGTAGCGAATGCTGTCATGACCCCACCACCCAACGCCCAAAAATGAGGAGGCTTGCGAATGGGGAGGGAACTCCATTTCAGCTTCTGCTTCTGCTCCGGCTGAGGAGGCTGCTTCTTTCATGGGGATATTGGATTTTTAGCTGGCTTTTGTAATTGTTAATCACAGAAAGTTTAACATCCAAAACCCCGCCCCACCCGCTGCTCCTTTGTTTCTGCACCCGCGGTGTTCCAAATGGCGCTGTGCGATTTTTGTTTTCACGGTCGATTTGGTTTTGGCTTCTCACGGCGATGGGTGGTTGGGTGGCAAATAACTTGCACTGCTTTTGCTACACCCACCTGCTTTTTGCGTACGTGCAGGTGAACGCATAATTAGGAAAATTCCTTTGTTGTTCGGATTGGGGGCTGCGAATGCGATGGGGGAAGGGGGGGCAACGCTCACTGGAGATAAATCCGAATCGCATTCGAATGCCCTAACCTGAATGTTTGTTTGTTTTTTCCGCAGTGCATGGGCAAACAAGGTTTCGTTGAGCGAGTCTAGGTCTTGCAGCGAAAAACCCCATTTGTTTACACTGCCATTGAATCAAAGCGAACATTTAATACCGGCGAAAGCCTTGTTTCCAATCAACAAAAACAGAAACCAATACCATTCGTCTCGCATTTCCGAGGACTTACAAACCGACAAACAAAACAACAAAAAAAGATCCCAAAGTCCTACCTGAAACGCAGAAAATGCGAGAGAACGAAAGGCAGGAAAATCAATGTGTATCTTTGTGGGCTGCTGAAACGGTTAACAAGTCGTATGAGTAATTTTACGAGGGCCGAAAGAAACTTTTTATGCCGAGCCCCAAGATATCCTCCAAATGCCAAATGTGCGCCGCACACACAGCATTTTTATTTGCGCACGCATAAAATGCCATTTCTAATTTACGATCTTCGACGGTTCGGGACGGAATGGGTCTTACCCGGGCTGTTTATGATGAATTTTCGTTATTTTCCTTAGCTTTATTGTTATGGTTCTTTGTTCGCTGTTTGCTGCTTTGCTGATTGCAACCCCGCACCTCTCCCGCTCCGAACCCACTGCACACCAAAAATTATGCAATAAAAGCCAAGTCGAAGGAGCCGAAACGGGAAAAGCGGGAAAGCCATGGCCATGGGAAAGGAAGCCACGCAAGATTTCCCCTCTAATTAGATGAGCATAAAAGCACCAGATGTAGATTCGTTGTTTGGAAAGCAGGGAGAGGAAAATTAATGACGTGGAAATTGGGCAAACACGCATCGAATGTCTGTTCCCATACTCTCAATGTTTTTTCGTGTATATTCACAGATACTTCATTCCCTTTTCTGGGTTTAATTGGCAAGCTTTTGATGTCTGCGAAGATGCTTCAATGCCAACGGAAGTCTAAAACCGACTCTGTAATACAATACAATTTCAAATACGCGGAGGAAAACCTGAATTCCTCATTTCAATTTGTTCAAATCATTATTCGTCGTTATTATTCCCGAAAAATTCCTGTTTGCATTTCGTTAAATCAATTTAATGAACCCAAAAACACAGCATTTTTCACGCTTCAATTTGCCGAAAATTTGTCAATTGACCCCCCAATCCCCCGGATTTCCCGATTCCCCATCTAAATTTCAAGCAGCACATTTTTAAGGGAGTCCGTGGAAATTGAGGGGGGTGGCGAAGGGGGCTGTGCGCATGCTGCATACATAAATCAATTTCAATTAACGTTAATTAAATACGCATCAAGTGGGCATGACCACAAAGCAAAATACAGGGGCAGCGGCCGAAAAGGGGGTGGATTCTTGTTGTCAGGGTGCTTACCAGAAAAAAAGGGGGCTTGTGGGTGGTGGGTGGTGGTTGGCAAGTGGGTGGTGCTTGGTAAGCGGGTGGCAGGCCGCACAAAAAAGGAGATTGAAGCGGCGAGTGAGAATCGCAGATTGGCATAGAAACCGAAAAGCCCCGGAAAGTATGCTCTGCAAATTGAAAATGAAAATGGAACTGCAAGAGTGGTGGCGGGGGGGATGTGTCTATCTGACCATCCAGCCACCCACCACCCAGCACCCACCACCCACTATTGCACGCGTCTATTTTGTGGTTATGCGCTTGGCTTGTCACGAACCATGAAACCAGAGCCAACTACACACAAAGCATGCAAAAAAGTCGGCCAACGAAAAAATGGGAGTCTGCAGAAGATGATGGGACTAGCAGATACCCTGTTAATGGGAAAACCCAGGATTGCAAGCCAATTGTTTGTGTAGCTAAAACTTAAGCGGGTCATGCTGCATTCGCCATAAGGATTTGTACCCTTTGCCGCCTCCATCTAATAAAGGTTTTCAACTGGGCAAACTCTACTGAGAGTTTCGCAAAAGAGTCCCTTTTTTCGTTCATCTCGAGTGGGCCCAAATCCTAGGGCTCCCCAAAAACACTCGCACACACGCAGATAAGCAAACACTCCAAATGGGATTTGCGAAATATGCAGTTCTAAAACCGCAATGATGGGGCTGACCATGCGAAAAGGACTATGCCCATGCTGGAAAGCCGGGACCATGGAAACCGAACTGCCACCAGAACAGACACATCACTTTTAGCATTACACGAGTAACAATGCCAGTTTCCCATTTTCCTGGTTGATTTCCCCCCTTTCCCGCATCGGCACTCTTTTTCGGTTATGGGCCTGCAAATGACATTGATATTTTTCCACTTTACGGGAAAATGCCGAAAGGCCAACAGAGTAACATTTCGATTGGAACTACGAGACGCTAATCTTTCACGGGATTCCTTATCTACTACATTTATTTATGTCGCTAGACCTAGAATGGCGTGCATCAGCACGAAATCTGCACTGATTGTGTGCCGCCATGGCAAACTGCTTTCACTTTCGGCACTTTCGTGACTTTCACCAATTTCACCCCACATGCCGTTGGCTGTTATCGCCGTACAAATAATTTGCCCGCGTAAATCATTCATAAAATGTAATGTGCATGAATGTAAAGCAGAAGGGGTGGGGATTTCCGCCTCTTTTCGGCTTTTGTAGCCAGTGTCGACTTTCGTGTAATTACAAAACTCATTAGTGCAGAAACTTGTTGGTCGTCGACCCTTGGCAAGTATGCAATGCTAATTGAAATCCAAGTTGTTGGTGGCGCATTCTTGCAAAGTCGAGGAGGCGGATAAGCAAACAGCCCCCAGCAGACCCTCGAACCCTCGAAAACTCACCCATTCGTCTGTGGAGCTGGCCTTGTAGATATGGGTTCTCTTTCTCTGCCGCAATGTGGTTGCCATCGCCCTTTGGAAGAAGGTCAGCATCCGTCAATAAGGAAATCCGCGAATAAGGAAAGCTGTGGCATGGCCAACGAACAAGGCCATCCTTGCCCCACATCCAACTGCTGTTCCGCAGCCATCAGCATCATCATCGGCTTGATGTGAGTTCTCTAAATTCAATTCGAAACTAGTGCGGAATTCGCGCTCTGCGTCTGATTTGCATTCGCAAATTGGTAATACAATAGGTGGGCGGCGGGCAGTCGATTTTCCCCCCAACCGCCGAGTCTCGACAATCCTGATAGCGCGCACTATACGTGTATATTGAACGGAGTGGAGGGCATTTGGAAATCAACATAAGTGACACCATTTTGCATAATGGGGGTTTCCGAAAACAGTTGTTCGGCCAGACTGGCTAGACCGGCTAGTGCGATTCCAGGGAACACAACTGTACCCACAAGCCCGGCGGCTATAAAAGCAGACGGCTCTGGGCTGCGCTGCCTCAGTTGGAGGCGCCCCTTGCAGCGAAAAGCCGCTTGCAACACGACGTAAATAGAAGGGCACCTCCAGGTGGAAACTGAACCAGCAGGTGGGCACTGAGCAGGACTGAAAGTTCTTGCATTCTACTCACTATTTCTAGCCCAAGAAGCATGTGTCCTATCCTCTCACTGCGCTGCTGGGGTTGCTCCGGCACGAAGGCTTGCAAGAAGCAAATAAACCAGCAGCAGGAACAGCAGGAGCAGCAGCAGTCGAAGAACAACCGCCAGGACATCCAGATGAACGTGCTATCCCCGGAGCTAGCCTCCTCCTACGAGGTGGCCATCGGCCAGTCATCGCTACCCAGCATGAGCCCCAGTCTGGTGGCGCTGCCCCGCCGGATAGTCACGTCGAGCACCCTGAGCTCCTGGGCCGGCGAGGAGGAACTGTGCGACATGGAACACTACGAGGATCGCACGCCTTCTCGGTGGCACGCCTGGTGGCTCAAGAGGGCCTCCACCGAGGATCACCTGTCCATCGTATCTCAGCGGAACTGGTTTGAGTAACAGATGGACTGTATCAATCCACGACACAAATGTATAACTTACACGGTGTTTCGGTAGAAGCTCTTCTATTTAATAAAACTACGGACTCTGTTTTTAGTTGGCACGGAAAGTGAAACTATTTTTTTCCCTTCTTTGGCCACAAGGAGACAATCCACGTGCGATTGTACCCCTTTTGGGGTATGCATTTTTAAAATGAAATTACTCCACGTTTTTACGGGAGCCAGAGGTAAAGGATTCTTGTGGTTAAGACTGAGTAATAAAAATTTGATTAGCTGCTTGTTTAACTTTAATTAAGTTGATTCCGCACACACACACACACACTGAACGTAGGAAAGTTAATCAAATATTTAGCAGGACCTCTTTGCCGTTTTCCCGTGCGAGTGCCGCAGGGTTAAATTCAGTTTTGGGCTGGGCTGGGCTGGGCGTATATTAACATTTTGGCTAAGCAAACTGGCGGGAGCAGGCAAACAGCAAACAAACAAACAAATGCCGGAATATTCATGATGATCATTAACACACAGGACACACAGCAACAGAGCTTTCAGGATATGCAGTCCAGAAGCAGCCAGTGACGCCTGCGAACAAATTTACACAGCCTCTCGGCGGCGGCGGGAGTTTAAGGACCCGAATATGTCTGCAGGCTCCATTATGTCCTTGGCAAAGTGCTTCAACCTAAGCCATTAGGGGTAACTTTGCCGGGATGTCATTAAAATAAAAATCGAGAGCGTGTTAAATGATTTACAAAAAGGGCGGTGGGCGAGTGGGGAAAAACAATTTGGTGGCTCTTCCAGTTCATGTCGGTGGTTTAGACTCTTGGCTTCTTTTCCACGCGCCATTTTTGTATTTTATGCTTTTTATGACTTTTCAATAAGTTTTCCCCCAAGACGAGACGAGTGGAGCCGAGGGGAGAGCAGAGGGAAAACTTTTCTGCTCGGGCCATTAAAGAAGGCATGTTTAGTATCGATAAGTTGCAGCTTGGAGCAAGAAGAGCATGTGCTAGAGCTTGTAGGAGTTCGAGTTAATGCAAAACAATTTCCATAATAAGATATTCTAACCCCAACGCAGTGCTTCAGTTTCACAAAAGCGTACATACAGTACACACGAGTGTATACAGTTCTCAGAAATCGGAACTCAGAACTGCTTAAATGCTCATGAAGTGGAACCCGACTCTTTAAGTTTGCCTCTCATTCAATTAAGCTCAGTTTTGGCGTAATTCCGGGGATTTGGGACTGGAACTGGCACTAGCACTGGCACTGGGACTGGGACCGGGTTCCTTTCCAGCTAATCGTCGGCCATTAGACGCCAATGACACTTTTATGCCACTTTAATAAACTTGAGCAGCTAACAAGCTTATGAAAGGGGGAAGCGCGGCACTTGTACGGCAAAAGTTTTCGCACGTTGCGACAAATGTCTTGAGCTGCAATCGTCCCAGGAGGTTTGCACTTGCCACAAGTTCGAATTCGTGGAGGGAGGTTGACGGGGGTGAGCATGTACATACATACGAGTATGTACGCATACTGATACCAGCAATCATTCCCCTAGTCCGCAGAACCCCGGACAGACTTCTAATAACATAAGCAAGTGAAATGCATAAATAAACATTTGAGGGCAACGGCAGTTTTTCGCCCGCCCCAAACCGTTCCCTCTGTGAATTGATACAAATCGTTCAATAATCACGCAATTGCATTTTACTTCCTGCGGGGAAAAGTGATGGAGGGGGCGACAGTGTGGGCAAATGCGAGGGAATGTCCTTGCAACGTCCCTTGGGGTTAAGCGAGTTCCTCGGTAGTTGCGTTCTTGCGTTTTTGCGCTTTTGCGTTTTACATTTTATAAATGTCGCATGGTCGCAGCGAACCAGATCTGTGCACATCGCGGCAAAGAAGAGCCATTTAAAGTAATTGGACCTGCAATACATAAAGCCAAAAGGGAGTATTGCCAAATGGGGCAGAAGCGAAACCCATGGCTTGCATCTTGCAACTCAGCAATAGCTAATTGAAATGCGGGCAGCCAACATATCAGCCCGAAAACAATATTAAGCGCAGTGTAATCTAGAGACATTCCTTTTGCCATAAAGCATTACCAGCTTGTAATTGATTAAAGAGAAGCCGGGTGCCCTGGATGAACCGCTCCTTCGCCAACGAGCGCATTAATTTCAGGTGCGACCACAACCACCCCCGCAACAGTAGCAACAGTACTACCCGTTTACAGAGTGTTATTTATCATGTGGCAAATGTTGTAATGCATTTTGTAATCGGTACAAAGCAATCACAACGAATTGAAGCCAAAAGCTGGTGGGCGAGGGGCAGCGGCGGGGCGGGGGCGTGTAAGGCACGTGACCAATCAAGTGGGCGTGGCAGGGGCTGACTGAAAAGGGGATCAAAAGGGGATGAAGCGGGATTGTGTGCGTTGCTTTTCCGTTGCTAAATTAATGGAGCACGGAGAAAAAGGGGGGCGAACTTAAGCTGTAGTGACAGCGCCACGTATCTTCACCCTGCCCCTTTAATGCGATCAAAAATAACTCAAACCTAATTTACTTGGCCCGCATCCGTGAAATGAACAATTCCAAAAACGCACGTAAGTGCTGGTCGAAGCTGAGATATGTTTTGCCTTTGGAAGTAACACAATTAGCAGAAATAGGAAATGCATTTCTCATATGTTTCAGTTTAACATTTCCAGTTTTTATGGGTTCCTTTTCTTAAAGCCCTGGGCTGGGCTTTAAGGTATCTTTTTGTGCTCGGCTTAAGTGATTGGTAACGGTGTAGCTGTGCATGTTTTTTGACTGATAAGAGTCCGCAAAACAAACCCTTTGCGAGGAATTTTCGCTGGCTTAGCATACATTTGGGGGAAATTCGGGAGGAGGAGATTTCCAGGGCGTTTCTGCGACCAATTGGAGAAATCGAATCAAAATGTGAAGCCCTGCGGAGCGGAGCTCGTGCTTTTCCAGATATAACGAGGTTATTAATATTATTATGGCCAAAGTTTTGCAACCCCTTTTCGATAGCATCATTTGGGGCGCCATTAATTTGCGAGCTTAGAAACTTTTGCGCGCAGGAATTAAAAAATGGGAAACGGATGAGAGGGATAAGAGGGATAAGACGCCAAATCGAATCAGAAAACTTTAATGACTTTATGCGCCAAACTTGTTACGCAACTTGACCCCACAATTTCGCCCTTCTTTTCGGCGGCTAAAAAGTTTCCCTCCAATTGCAGTCGGTTGCAACACGTTATTGAGCAGAATTCAATTAATTAGCTGCCAATAGTTGAAGCGGTTCTTTCACCCACCACGTTTCTGCCTCAAAACTGGCTCCCCCAATGTGCATCTGCATCGCCCCCCTCTGTCATCATCATTATTTTCGCCGCTGCGTCTAAATAATTGATGGAAAACTCAAATTGCTGTGTGCTGGCTCCCCACCTTTTCCACCCAGCTGACCAAAGCAGAATCGCGCTTTTTCAGCTCCTATTCCATTAGTTGCACTCTCTAATGGGTTTGACACGGACAAAGGATTCGAGGGCATTATGTGGCAAGTTCGCTAATTGGGATCGTGGCAACTGCAGATACAGCAGGGATACAAAGGGAATTTCAGTTAGGCCTTCAGTTTGTTATGGCCAAAGAAGAAATCCGTGCAAGCAATGTGGGTAAACGCCATTAAAGGCCTGAATCCAGCATGCAAACTTGAATCATTTATCCCCCCTCCCCCTGCACACCCCGCTTGGGTCGAGCGCCTCCGGGTCATGCATAAATCATGGGCGGAGGGTCGCCAGCGAAGGCGGGGCAGGGTGAACCGGTGGCAAAGGGTTGAGCAAGTGGCAAACTTTCGCTTTTGCTTAGGCCTGTCGTATTTGACTGCGGTTGAGATTTGGAATCGATAGCCTCGTCTCCTTTGGCCACCGCATCCTCTGGCTGCTGGAGGTGCGCGAGGCGCAAGGGGCGAGGGGCGAGGGGCGAGCCAAACGTTTTGCACGCCACAAAAGTCAGCTTAGCTTATTTATTATTTACACGAATGAAACGTGTATGAAACCGACAGAAATGCTACAAAGCGAGGAAAAAAGCGAGGCAGGAAAAGTCGAATCGGGCAACAGGGAAAATCCTCCAAGGAGAGCAAGCAAATCCCCAAGTATATGTGCGAGTGAGTTTGTGATGGTGGTGTTGGTGTTATGTGGTTGATTTGATTGCTTTATGCACCCAGTGAGTAGCCGCATGAATTTCAAATGAGGCGTTCATTGCCCCGTTCCTTTGCTATCTTTGTTTTTTTTGCCCCCTGTTCGATGCCACACTTTGGTTCTGGACTTCTTGGCTCTGAAGGAATTCCTGGCAACTCCTGCCTTTTACTTATACCAAGACTCGGGGAAGCCGTGAAAAATAACACCAAAAGGCGGAGGGCTTTAAACATTTTGAGGCACGACCGCAGTGCAGTCATTATCCTGGCCAAGATGGGAATGGAAAACGAGTGGCAGCAGCACCTTGGCTGCCACACAACGTGTTGCACACGTCCAGGAGAGGGGCAGGAGGTGAAAGCCTGGGTATGCGTTAGCTGGGTCAGTGTTCCTGCAGAGGTAGGTGGGTGTTCCCACAGTAATTTGAAATTCATGCGCTTCGTATGTGGAATAAATTCAAGATTTTGATTTGCTGCTACGTGTGGCAAGCTGTTCCCCTTCCCCCACCCCTTCCCCTACGCCCCTCTGCAATTGAAGGTGTGAAATCGCACATGAAGGATAATAAAAGTGAAAAGCGTGAGAGGCTGTCAGACCCAATAAAAACGGAAGGCGAAAGCAGGGGCATCAGGTGCAGGTTTCCGCCTTTGTTGCGCTTAGAGTTTTCGAACGAATCGAATTAAATATACTCGTACTTGTATGTATTCATGCAGCCAGAGCCCCAAGTTGGTCGCCAAAAAGGTTCAAACGAAAGTATTGCCCATGCACATATTAGGCGCTGTTCGTGGCATTTTGAGAGCCAAATGGCGGGCGAAGCAGTAAAAGAAAGGTGTGCTCTGTGCCCAATTAAACTACCAATTGCAATTGACGAAGATGACTAGATGAAACTGGCCACAGATCCTTAGGGCACACACTGAGCCAAAAACCTGCAGACTTCTCATGTGATCT